CTGCCGCCCCCATCTCCGCGGGTCTCGAGCTCCAACAACGTATCCTTCTTCGGAAGCAGCTACGGCGGCGACGACGAACTCGGTGACCTCTCGTAGATGGGTGACGGGGGTGACGGGGGTGGCCGTCCTGCCGTCGCGTGACGTGAGTGTACCGTGGTTGAGAACGTCACGGACGTAGATGTCGAAGAGTTACGAAACCAAGACACCATAGTAAGCATGAGATACAAACGCGAGCGCCGCCGACAGCCTAGTGGGGGCACGAGAGCATTGAATCAAGACACACAAGCGTTTCCGTATCACGGGGCCTTTGGCAAAATCGTACCTTCACCGCGGCAGCAGAGCTGAAATGACCTCCCAGCCTCGAGGCGGCCGGCCCAGCAGCAGCGGACCAAGAAGAAGCATCCACCGCTGCGGCGCGCACGGCTGTACCTGAGCGTTGTGGAGATGGGGAGCGGGAGAGCGATCGAGGCGACCGACGCGGGGACGGCGGGCGCCCGTCACGTGCCCGTGGGGAGGTGGACCTTCCGCGGGAAGGGGCGGCCGTCGACTTTGTCTCCGACGACGGCAGCAGCAGCGGGATCACATCGGTGGTGGTGGTGTTGTCCGTCGTCTTGCACACGGCGGCGAAAGGCTCAGAGGGCTTCGAGGAGGTCAGGCTCAACATCGCCGACGGTACCGGCGCCGTCAACGTCTCCGTCGCCGTGGCCATCATGATGGCCGTCCTTGCGCCACGGAGCGGACCGCCGTTGAGCTTGGAAACCGTTGCGATCGTGGAGGGAAGCAGGTGTGACTTGGTGACATATATGGGGGCGCTAGCGACGGCACCCAGAACCGAAGTTGTGTGGACAGTTAGTACCCGGGCACCGCTGTTGGCGACGCTGCGGGTGTTGCTGTAGGAGGTCCCGGCGGGCGCGGCTTGGTGTTTCCCCGTGACGATGCGCTTCAGCATCCTTCGCCTCGCAGCAAGCTGCTGCGGAGGGCGCCGGATCGATGCCCAATTGTAGAGCGGTACCGCCCACCCCAACGAATCGATGCGAACGATCTGCCTGCCTGTCTGAAGTTGGAGCAGGACGAGCGTGCCTTCGGCGCTGTTGTTGTTGTGGTTGTTGTTGTTGTTGTTGTTGTTGATGATGATGGTGGCGCTTCCGTCCGCTCGCAATGGCGACCTCGCCCCGCCGCCGCTTCCGCTTCCGCCAAGAGCGATGCGGACCGCCAGCACCAGCGCATAGCCTTCTCCCACCGTCGCCGCCTGACGTTCAATCACGTTCTGGATGAACGCGGCCCCGACCTCACTGGGCTCTGCCCAGTCCACGACGGGATGGAAGTTCCCGAACCCGACGGCGACGCTTGAGGCACGGTTCTGTTGAAGAGGTGCAGCGCATTAGCGGTGGAGAAGGCATGTTCGGGGTGGTGGGAATGGATCGTGCGTTCAGGGTGAAACATTCGTTTCAGGCGTTCGTCACGAGCTGGCCGTTGGGCTTGTTGTGCATCACAGGGATATAGGGCCGTTCTAGCCGATCTCGTGTGTAACATCCTGTTGTATGTAGCAGGCGGCGCGCGGGCGCATCTTAGCATCCTACACTAGCATGTTCGTTTTAAAAACTCCGAGACATCTACCTCCCTGACGTTCTCAACCATTCACGTCACGCGCTGGCAGAGCGGAAAGGCTGCCCTCGTCGCCAGGGCAGAAGGGCTTCTGCGAGAGGTCCCCATCATGGTCGTCGCCGCCGTAGCTGCTTCCGAAGAAGGACACGTTGTTGGAGCTCGAGACCGCGGAGATGGGGGCGGCAGGATAAGGCACGGGAGATGCCGGGGTGAGCGGAGGCTTGCCCAAACCGTCCAGGGTCCCTCGTAGGAACCCTGGACGAAATGGGCAAGCCTTCCCTGG